ATGATAGAAAGAAGAGTTAACACATACATGTGGAGAGGAAAGTTTTATGGTGATGAATAATGTATGAGTAGATGTAATGGAGTGTGAGAAAAACAAACTGAGAAAAATGAAATAAAATGGGAATTGTTAGTGTTGCATATATTAATCACTTGTTTTTTTAATGATAATTAATCTCTGCATATTCTTTAATTAAAATTGACATTTAGTTTGCAGGTATCATAATATGTTTTACCACACAAGTTGTGCGGAACAGTTTAATCGTTATGTTCGTCGATATGACATATTTATATTATAAAATATGATATTTTTTAATAAAAATATTCATAATTTATAAAAATAGTATATCGGGCTATCACAAGATGAACCGTACTTACTATTGCAATACCTCCCATGGAATCTTGGAAGACAAAATTATAAGGTTTCGATTACAAATTAACAATGTCCAAAGAATTTGATAATTACACAGCCACTTGGTGGAGGATCATAAAGTTGAATGTAGACTTTTAATAACGGCATAGAGGTAACCGTACATATATGAGGAAATGTGAGGATCAAACTAATTTCTTGAAAGAAAACTACTACTACTACTTGATAAGCCAATTAATGTCATAAAGTATCATTAAAGGTACGGTTCTTGTGAGGTACACACGCCTATATATAGGGTGTTTGTGGTTAATTCAATGAACTAGAATAACTAAAACTTTTTTATTTTTTCTAATGTCAAGAAATAAATATAGATACTAAAATTAAAATTATAATATTATAACCGTGTTAGCTAGATAATATATTAATTAACTTATATGTTAGCTCTAAAAGACTCAGGTTTAACGTTCTGCCTAAAAGAAAACAACAGTACTGATCAAAAGAGGTGAAAAATAATGATCAAACTCTATTGTTTTGGGGGCTTAAACGGACATGTCCTGTGAAAATAACGCATTTAACATTTATTTTTATCATATCGCACGAGCTACATACTAGTTATATTTGAGAAGTACATTAAATTAACCTTTATTAATTACATTAGAATAAGTCAACTTGTGCTCCTTAACTACCCTAATTAAACTTGATGTCCACTCCACATCTTAAAAGCAATTTCTCCCTTTCAAAAGATTAAAAAACCACCCATCATAAACATAATCTCTCCACCTTCAATAACCATGAAGGTGATCAAAACAATCCTCTTCCTCACCATAATAACCATTACAACCTTAACACCCAACCCGATTTACTCCGAAACAGGCCCTCCCGATAGAAACTCGTTACCCATTAAAATTGCCCCCGGCCCATTTCTTTCTCGATTTCAAGTTGAAAGCTCTGGCCCACGAACGGCTCGTTTGTGCGGACATGATAATCGGGCATGCGGTCACTTCTTGTTCGGAAGTGGAAACGGGACTTGTTGCAACAATAGGTGTGTCGAGACGGGCTCGGATGCTAGAAACTGTGGCGCGTGCGGCAAAAAGTGTGTGTTCGGGCAAGTTTGTTGCAAGGGGGAGTGTGTGAATCCATACAAGGATAGTAGGCATTGTGGATTTTGTAATAACATGTGTAAGATTCATGGCACGTGCGTGTATGGCCTATGCGACTATGCTATGTAAGGTAAGTATTGATGCAAATTATTGGAAATTAACAACAATAGGTGACTAATTGTGATAAGAACCATACGAATCAGGATGGATCGTATCGAATTGTATAGAAGAGAAAACGAATTTATATATGATTGTGTAAGTAGTTATATATGTAGTTCGAGTTTGGATTTGTAATGAATAAAGGGATAGAGATGAATTAATCTTTGGTGACCATTTGATCTTAAGATTTCATTTTGGAGCAACAATGTTTTTCCAAGTGATGGTTTTATTGAATTTTCATTATTTTTATTAGATTGAAATTGCAATTAGTATGTCTTTCTCTTTGGTAGTTTTAAGATTTTTCTTTTTAATTGTCTTTAACTGATTAAATAAAGCATGTGTTCTTGTATGGACAATAGGCGCGAAATAGTAGGAATAAATACACGACACGAGAGAAATTTATAATGGAAGATCTAACTTCATAAATATGTATATTTTGGCAGAATTTCTTGTCAGCATTCACTTCACACTTATTGTTCTATCATTCACATTCATTTTCTGTCTTTCTTTTAATTTATCAATATTAATGATCGAACTCAAAATTTAACGATTTAGGTTAAACTAAAAGTTAAAAAAAAATACGTAAAAAGACTATTAGCCGGCCTTAACGAGCTCCGCATATTATATAATGATTTTTAAATGAGCTCGAGTTTCAGCGAGCGAAATTGAATTTACAAGCCACTTGTTTCATTTAAGAGCTTTTAATCCAATATAAATATAATAACCGCCATAAGTCCACAAATCACAATCCATGCAGTGTAAATTATTGATAGAACTAGTATTCGACCTATGCATTTGCACAGATATAAATAAATTATGAGTCTGTATGCATATAATGATTAATTATTTATTTTTTCACTTTTTTGCAGACCAAATTTTCAATTAAAAGAGTTGTAATATTTTTATTTTTAAATTGCGTTTATCTGATTGGATGTAATGTATATTTTGGTACGTCTTTTATTTGTGAATTATTTATTATTTATTTAGGAATTTTAAATATATTTTTTATTTAAAAAAAATTAAATGTAACAACAATAATGACATCTAATCACATTATACAGTCAACACATTATATGGTCAACTGTCATTAATTAAATGTTTAAAATAATTTTTGTAATTTTGAAGTGATGAGTATTAATTATTTAATGATTAAATGAAAGATTAAATACATCAAAATGTAACGGTTTTTGGAGGAAAAATTGTTAAATTGCCACATAGGTAAAATTAAATAAGTTTTATTAAATGTTATTAGCTAGTAATTATATATATATATATATAGATTTCCATTTCCTTGATACTATATATGAAGAAAAAAAAATGTGAAAAATACAAAATGAGAGTGATCAGTTTGTTATGGACACAAATGACACACATAACTTATGCAAATATTATTCATAACTATCTATAAATGATATATTGATGATCGTCTCAAAATAAATACATTTTATATATGTGCCAATAATTATTTTTGGATGTTTACAATTTCCAGAAACTTCTGCGTTAATGTCAATAGGTTGCCTAAATATGAAGGAACTAATATAGTGATTCGTCGCATTCTTTTTCACATGTTGGCTATTTGCATAAGATATTTAAGTACGGTTTCTAACGTGTGATCAAGAAACCAATAAAGCCTACAATCATCTATGACATTTAAAGGGTGACCCAACTAGCTAAATAATTATCTCTGTGTAAAATTGTATTTTATTTCATTTTTATTTGTTTGTGGTATGCCGTATGTGTGCAGAATAACGTGATGAACAATTCAATTGAAAATTTTATACTTAAAAATTAAAAAAAAATAAAACTTTCTATTTAAAATTTATAATATTCTTTAAATTTTTTATTTCTTATTTTTTATTTAAAATGGCAGTTATTACTAGTAAAATTTGTTGGTCTCATTGATAATATTTTTTTCTAACTCATATCATATGATAAGCTTAATAGATAAATTTAATTAATAATTAATATTTTTATTATTTTTCAATTATGATATATAAGATAGTTTAATTTTTATTTATAAAGGTGGATATATTTTATCTGAGCGATATCAATATCAAATAGAAGATCGTCAAAATTAAAGATAGATTAATTGGAAGTAATACATTGGTGTCTAATGTCAGTTACGAAATTGCAAGTGACACTTTTGAATGTGTTCAATATCTTGATTTACCTGTAGCTAGATAATTTGGTGATGTGACAATAAATTAATTTTCAATCAGTCATTTTGTAAAATATATGAATTTTTGATTAAGTATACATACTTCTACTATAAATTATAAGCTAACTATCAGTAAGAAGTTAGATTATATTTCATATGTCCCCAACTAAATATATTTTATAAGTTTCCTTAATAATAGCTCAAGTCCAACAGCCAAAACTTGTAAAAGTGACAAAAGCGGGAACCATCAAGATCGATGCCAACAGGCAACAACTTGTCTTTTAAAGATTTTTTATTTTTATTTTTTCCAAACACTTGTCTTTTAAAGATGCTTTTACCTCATAATACTTTTCCGATGGAAACCGACCAAACATATATTTGGGTTCAATTTTCGGGGCACATATGCATTTTATGAACCGATAATTTTTTTTTAATAATTCTATCAAGCATTTTTTGTTTATTTATTTATTTTGTTAAATTAAGAGGAGCCTCAAATGGGGGAAATTCTCATTTTGAGACTTTTATCGGCCTCTTTTAAGAAAAATGTCTACCGTTTTTGCATACAACTACTTTGTACATTAATCTAAAAAATTCATAAAAAAATGTATGCTAGTGTTAGGATAAATTCCTGTTTAAATTTATCACGAGCTCAATACGGGCTCATCACGAGCCAAATATTCTGTTTATTCATATAATTTTGGACGGATCGACAATTGACTAAGCACATAAACTTTAATTAATTTTGCACATATGACAGTATCGACAAGACGAATCCAAAAGTGGATCACACACTTGAAACTCGCGTGAGATGACACTAGAATTAGGCAAATAACAGAACAACTCCATTTTTTTTTTTTTTTAAATCTTATTGAGCTACAAGTTTATGGTAACGACGGTCTTGATGAGTTAGCCTAACAAATATAATTACTTATATAGAAACAAATTTAAATACTTACAATGAAAAAGTGTACGGCATAATATAGCAGGCTCACATTAACAAATTAACATCTAATTGATGAATTCGAGATGAAATATAAAACGTTCACCCAAGCTTGAACAGTGGTTTGACGAATCAAATACCATGTCAGATGTTATACATAGTTCACACTTCACAATAGCAAGCTTTTGTGATTTCAATTAATTAATTTCAAGAATAATAAAAAAAAAAAGAAAAAGAAAAAACAGAACAAAAAACCTGAGGAAAAACAGGGGACATGAAACCGCGTCCTTTGCAGCTACCAAGCTGGATAAGTCGGTTATGTAATTCATCGTATATATAAACCCGTGATTTTTTATTGTAAATGTTTGCCTACTCACTAGTTTTAACTTTTAACAAATATGAATTAAATATACAGTATAATAGTTTCCCTTATTCTGTTTTTATTTAATTAATTATTGTTTACATATTAATGGTTCTAATAAGTGCCAGCCAACTATACTCGTGTCATTTAATGCAAGTTCACAATTTTTTTACTGCAGAAAGAGAGGTGTGAAACTGAGAGTTTAAGTCAGAATTTTTTTTGAAAGCATATGTATCCACAGACCCTTTGGACTCTTCTTGCATTTTTTAAAATTTTAACTAACATATAGTGTTTGATTTATTGTATTTCCATAGTTTCATGCATAATATTCTCTTGTGATTGATCACATGCAGTTGCTTGCCAAACCCTAGATATCATCGCTTTCTTCTCATGTCTTTAATTTGCTAACTCATTTGCAATTTTAACCACCTTTTGTGTGTGTTGATTAATTACCAAATGCTAATCTACTAAATTCATCCAAAATATGAATGAGAAGTTAAACAAATACAATTAGTTGAACCTAAAATTTTGTAGGTAGGGCCATCTCGACAGGACGAATTCAACGGTAAGTCGTTCAACAAAAACATGCCCCAAGTGGAACCTTAATAATGCCGAATAGAAATAACGAATTTTACCATGTATCTTATGATTACTTTGCATTTTTCTTTTATATTCTCGACAAAATAGAATATTAAGTTTGATATCGGATCGTATAACACATTTTTTCTGAAAATAGTTCAATATAAAGAATCGAAATTTAAATTATGTCAATATTTCACTATGAAAATATATATTTTGTTTAATGTTGTTTTTATACTATTAGCTCATGAGCATGACTCGGCTCAGTTCATTAAGATTCGAGCTCTTGTTTCGTGTACGCTCACATAAAATTCCAAGGGCAAAAGCGTATATTTAACATGGACATTCATTCATCAAAGTTCCCTATAAATACTCCTACGCGCCAAGTTTCAAGCCGTTGACTGGTCAACTACTGTTCGTTGAAATTCCTTTCACTACTAAAATGGACGATCAAGAAAAACTGAGCGGGTCACCCGACCCGGTTTTGAGGACCCGGTGGATCCCCAAGCCGGAGCAAATCCTCATCCTCGAGTCCATCTTCAACGGCGGCACGGTCAACCCGACCAACAACGAGACCGTGAGATTCCGGAAGCTTCTTGAGAAGTACGGCCCGGTTGGGGATGCCAACGTCTTCTACTGGTTCCAGAACCGCCGCTCCAGGACCCACCGCCGCCGCAGGCAGATTCAAGCTGCCGCCGGCGACATTACTCGCGGCGGCGCGGTTCGGGGTGATAATTGTGATCCTCTTTTGTGCAGTTATGGTCCGACGATGGATACAAGCGCGGGTATGAGCCCTTCCTCGTCTTTTGGGCCCATTGGTGTAGGTGCTGATTCTACCAGTAACGGGCCTCTCTCGTTCTTGGGCCACCCAACTTGTTTTCAGGAGGTCCAGCAGGATTCGGGTTTCTGGGCCCAGGATTCTTCCATTTCCCATTACGGTGAGACTAATTTCGGATAACATTTGTTATTTTTTTTTTTTAATTTAACATTCAACTTAATTGATCATGTAAGGTTGTTGTTAGATAGTGTACTAATCATTAGTAAAATATATGTTTGATAGATATACGTAATTTCATAGATAAGTGACATATTTTAAATCACAAAATCATAAAATTAAGATATTTAATAGTATATGTATGCATTTTTATTAACAAAAAATATGACAGTTTGATGGGTCGAACCGTTTCATCGTTAGGTTGCTTCATGCAAAATTTTGTGCAATTAATCACTATTAAATTAACACAAATTTTTGGGTCAGGAGGTCTAATCCTTATATAGGTTGACTCACTAAACCATTATATTCTTTCATATAAGAATTCGTGCAATTAATCACTCACAAACTAATACAAATTATTGAGTGAGACAGTTTAACTATAAGACGGGTTGACCTATTATACTTTGTGAGCTAACATGCATATTTTTAAATTTTAATATCAAATTTCATAATTCTATTTATACATTATTTAACAAATTAATACTTTATAATGAANAAGGTATGCCCGCGTAACTATTAGGTTGAGTAACAGTGAACTTACAGAATAAACAAATAATTATAAAATGAATTCTTAAAGTTTAAATGCGTCACTGAAATTAGGATCATGCTACAGTAACAAAATAGCTGACATATCGTTTGTTATATTACATACGTGTTATACGATTACATCAACTTTAAAATCAATAATTTATACATACTTGTATAATTTATGTCATCCATTTTTTTAAAAGAATCAACAGTGGTTCCTCATTTATTCATGGATGACTCAAACTCGTGACTTATAGGTCCTAAGTGAAGTGTGCTACCAAACGAGCTACCTCTTCTAATCAATTTATGTCATCCATTATAGCAAAAAATTGAGTAGACGTAATACTATTCTTTATATTATCCATGATCACACCTTCCAATCATGTAACTAATTAGTAATTAACTTGAGCTTTAAGGATTGTCAATATTTTCCACTTTATCCTTTNTTTTTGACTTTTTCCAAATAATTCAGGTGTGATTACAGTGTTTATAAATGGAGTAGAGACATCTGTTAGAATGGAGCCATTGGACACGAAGACCATGTTTGGTGAAGGCTTTATACTGTTCCATTCATCAGGAGTTGCAGTTGAAGTTGACGAGCGTGGATTTTTACTGCAGCCCTTGCATCACGGTGAAAGTTATTTCCTGGTAATATATTTGTGTCAATTGTTTTACAATTTGATACTACATTTGTAAAGATAAAATCATCATCAATTGGCATGTCATCTAAGTAAAATGGAGTACCTAAATTGATATTTTTTTTTTCTATTTATGTTGTTTCTAAAACATGACATCTAATTTAGCTTAACAACATCCTTACAACTCTCATAATTAAGGAAGTTTAGGCTAGAAAAGTACAATGTATGTAGAAGTACAATTAAACGGGTCTGTTAGTAAAGTATTTAACTTATTATTTTTTTCTCAAATTAATTTCAGGTTCCACGACATTAGATTAATCTTGAGTTTAAGAGCAAAGGCAGTCAAAATCAGATGAGGAGCTTTCAACGTTCATCAATAATTCGAAGTAAATTTGTGAGAACTGTAATAACATATTTATAACTTTGTATTATTCCATATTTTTTTTTATTTATTACAATCATGTGGTGAGAGATTTTATTTTATTTTATTTTATTTTTCTTAGAGAAATGTTGGTAAAATTAAAGTAGCTAGGATGATTAGCAAATTAAAAGTTGGGCCTTTTTGTTTGTAAACCTCGGCTAGGCCCATGTAATATGAACCTAAAACTAGCCCAAACCCAATAGTTAAAACCAACTACCCATGAAAAATTTACACCTTCCACATATAAATCTCATTTTATTTACAATCATCTGAATCTCGATTTATTTAAAAAAAATATATATTATAATAAACATGTAAACATGCCAATACTTTTTTATCATTGAAGTAAACAGTAACTCTCATCAATTTATCAATATAAATTATTTTTCATTTATTTAAATATAACTTTATAAGTCCTTGTTGGCCATCTCCAATCCAAACCTTAACCCGCGTCCAAGTTATAATGAAAAGGACAAAACTATTACAACAAAGTAACAAATCAAACAAAAACGATGCAATAAAGCCAGTTATTCCCGTACATACGGTCAATAAAGTAAAACCAAACGAACCTAAAAAAGCCATGAGATGTGGCCAGATTTATTGATAATAAGCAACATAAAGTTTAAAAACGAAACTTTGCCCAATTATATGCTAAAACTGCAGCAAGCACAACATTACTACCCATTGACTAATGTAATTTGTTTTTCTTTTTATTTATTTATTTATTATTTTATGTCTTTTACTTTATTCTTTTTGTTAGTCTCCCTCTTGTAGTTTCCTTTATTCAATTTCTGTTATTTTCATTTGAGCTTGTAGTTTCTTTATGGAGTTCGATTTTCCTGAAGTATTAGCTTTTTTTATTGTCAGGTAGTTTTTTCTTATAATTAATGTTTTTTTATTAAAAAAAAATTATTGTGAAAATTAAAACACAAAATAACCTTTTCACAATTTTCAAAGCACACATATACAAATAAAATAAAAAATATCAGAATAATTTCAACGAATTGAATATACATATATATATGTATGTATAATGATGAAAGGACATTTAATTCTTCTTCATGCAAATCCATTTTTTTTATTTTTGTGCACAATTACATTACAGAGAGACAACAATATCTTGGCACTTGATACCTACCTCAATGACCCATCCTATACTTCATTTTCTTTTCTTTATTTTTTTTTCCCT